GATTATGAAACTTTAATTTGATTTTAAAGAAAAAAGCGTTAAAATATGTTCACCGATGTACGGCAATTTTACATTTAAATAGTCCATTTATTAAGGCGATCGCAGCTTCTCTCGATAATGATGCAGCCCCGATGCTCGACTCCGTTGTAGTAAATCGCAGCAAGAAGGAAAAATTCGTTAGGACAGAGCGACGCTCAAATTACAACGACTGGTCAAGCCCGCTGCAAAACTTTTGTCTCTTGGGTCTTGTATCATCGCCCGCAGCGGTACTTACCCATCAGGGAATGTAAAACGCATATAATCTCCCGCCCCACCCCCTCCCCCTCCCCTTCCCTCCCTGCCCCTGCCCCCACCCAAAAAAAAAGCAACCTCCTCAAATATGCAGGAGCTTTGAAAGATAGATAGATAGATAGATAGAGATAGATACAGAGTGAGAGAAGAGCAAATGATGGGGCAGGGGGAGGGGAGGGGTTGAAGGTGAAAAGGGAGATAAAGGCAGAAAAGCGTAATCGTGGGGTAGGCCTGGCAGTGGGGGCTGGGGGCGGCTAGATTCGGACGTACACGCGTGCGTGTGCCTGATGTGTGTGTGCCAATGCAAGAGCTGTGCGTGCGCGTGCGAGAGGGAGAGAGCGAGCGAGGTAGCGAGCGGGGGGCAACGAAGAAACCAGCATGACAGATCGACACGAGGCAGCGAGCTGTGCGTACCTCGTCGCGGTGTACCAGGACCCGCGTCGCCTTGGCCGCGCCGGAACAGAAGTGCGCGGGCCACGTGCCATGGGCCTGAGGACGTGCGCGGGACGCGCGACCGGCCCCAACGACCGATACGCATCTTTAACGACGTGCATAATGTGCCTCCGGGGGTGACGAACGACTGTGCCTTTGCCTTTCTTCGGCAGCTAAGACCGTGGTGTGCCAATGGAATATCGTCCTTCGACTATTCTCCTGCCGATTGATCGAACGGTTCGCTCTTTGTAATGTTTGCCGTGGTATGTTGCAATTGCATTTCTTAAGCCTGTTGAGACACGTGGCCCATGGAGCTCCTTTATTTAGTCTCGCGTTTGCGTTTTTAGTAATGCGTTTGCAGTTTGCTTTCTAAAGTATCTTCGTTGTAGTTTGGTTGAGGCACTTTTAACTGGATTCTTTGAATACTTTTGGCGCCAGTCTTGTGCTTTAAGCTATGCGATTCAGATTGATCGCGAGAGGTCTAGGGAAGCATGGGAGGAATTGTGGAGCAAGAGATACGTAGACGAATTTACTTAAGATGGTCTTATTCAAGGATATTTTAATTTTCACTGTTTTATTGGGCGTAGGATAATTGTATACTAGGCTTAAAAGCTCTAAGAAAATTGAGCGAATTATGTTTGAAAGGCCACGATGTAACATCATCTTACAAATAGTCAAAAGTTGAATGGAATTGTTGTAGGAATGAGCTCGATTGGACGACGAGTGCGCGCAAAGTGGCCGTAGCGTGGCAATATTTCAATTATTATTTACCAAAAAGATCCGTAAGAATAATATTTAATTATATACAAATCGATTCGATCGATTTCTAAAATACTATTCGCATCGTTTTATTCTCAAAGTACAGTTTTCATTCTATATTCACGAATAATTATTGAAATTACATTATTTAATATAAAATAGACTTGTAAATTCACTATGTGCTGCCTTGCCATAGACACTATTCAATATTGATTAAACTGTATTTATCAGAAATTTATGTCTCTTTATGAAACTATATATATATATATATATATATATATATATATATAATTAAAGATGTAAATGGCGATATGTGTAGTAGACATTTGTAATAGATTTAAGTGGCAAAACATATACTCTGACTAACTTTGCATTTCATACATTTGAGCAGATAAATGAATAAATAATAATAGTAATGGAAAGAAATTTTGTATAATGCTATTGAGTATCGATTATCCGCATATCAACGATGAAGAGATAAGTGGTAAGGTGTTGATAACAATTCTCTATAGCAAATATGTAATTTTAAAAGGGGGAATTTAAAATTTCTCTCGACTCAATCGCTAACTCGACAATTTAATGCACAAATTGCCACTCTGTGGGCATTATTCACATTCGCTGATAATAATGACTCTTCCGTCCAATTGGATCGTGGCAATTGGTTTGTTTCAGCCAAAAAAAAAAAACAAAAACAAAAACAAAAACCAAAAATTAAAAGAGAAAAAAGAGAAAAAGTACTATTTAAAAAGTCGTTGGACAATTGAGGTGCAACGCCACTCGTACGCTTTCAGC